GACGCAAAAGTAGTTAAAGTGTATGAACCAAAGATTAAAAAAAGCCCCAAGTTCAATAATGTGATGTAAATCAAAGGAATTAGACAAATGAATCAACCCAACGACGCAAAGGTAGTTAAAGTGTATGAACCAAAGATTAAAAAAAGCCCCAAGTTCAATAATGTGATGTAAATCAAAGGAATTATATGATTTCAATTCGTGAAACTCTCATCATAGGATTTCAATTTCAAAAAAATAAAAGGAATTAATACTCACCCAGAGACTGTCATACAAAGAATCAAAGAGGTGNATATGATTTCAATTTCAAAAAAATAAAAGGAATTAATACTCACTCAGAGACTGTCATACAAAGAATCAGAGAGGAGAGAGAAAGAACCTGGGATGCTTGTGCCTGGTTTGTAGCTTCGAAGATAAGACAGCGAGAGAGGCGAGAGTCTCTAAGACTCAAAGAGGAGGAGGCACTAGGGATCAATCGACTGAGAGAAGCAGAGAGAGGTGAGAGGCGAGAGTCTCAANGGCGAGAGTCTCTAAGACTCAAAGAGGAGGAGGCACTAGGGATCAATCGACTGAGATAAGCAGAGAAAGGTGAGAGGCGAGAGTCTCGAAGAGGAGTGTGTGTGTGAGAGAGAAGGGGGCGGTGTTAATAGGGGAGGAAGAGTAACTTAGGCGCCTTAGGGTTTAACGAGGATGGGGACAGGGCGGGGGTAAGAATAAGTCCATCCCCACACAGGTTTATACGGGTATCTTGTATACGTCCACCGTCCAATACGTATAATCCATCCCCAGTCCAAACGAGACGGGTTTGGACGAATACCCATTTTTCTCTGGTCCACTGCCATCTCTAATGTTGAGGTCCCCAGTAAAAGACTTGGCCCTGATGGCAAAGACAAGAAAGGAAAAGAAAACAACACTTAGCAAAAGAAAAAAACACCCTTGCATTCCAAAAAGGAGGGCTTTACATCCCTCAAGCTACAAGAATTGAAAATTAAGTTGCAAAAAAAAAAAAAGTTGCTCTATGGTGGGCTAGTAACCTTGCCACTGATACCACCTCTGATGCCACCAAAAAGCTCATCAATGCTGGTGGAGAAAGAGTTGGTGCTATGAGAGGAAGACATTATGTCGGTGCGTACCATAGAAGCTTCGTCCTGAGGGGCAGGCTCGACGTCGACAGAGACAGGAGCAACCTCGACTGAAGCATAGGCAAACACAAGAGTAGCATCATCCCGAGGGGCCGGAGTTGGGGTCGCATTCTCGGCTGGA